GGCTGTCATTCACATCACTGGATTGTGATGAGGCTCAGGTAAGTATTGAGGGGGCTAGGGGAAATGCTGCACACAGAAGGTTTTTTACCTTCATGCATAGAATGCATGAAAGTAAAAAACCTGCTTTTACAACCACTCTAAGACCCTTTGTAAGGTATTGTGAATATCCAAACACATCCAGCAGCAGACAGTACAGCTGTGGCTTGTCATATGTTGCATCCTTAAAGTATTTCCCTTCTGCATTGTTGGAAATGGAGAGTAAAAAAATGTAACTCAAGGTGCAATTCTTTTTTCTTACCAACTTAAAAGTATGGTATTAGAACATTTGTTTTTATGAACTTCTGAATTCTACATTGTGATTAAAAAATACCTTTTGTCTAGCCAATTTATTTCTATATCAACCACACAAAAAAAGTAAAAATCATTGTATTACTGATGATAATATAATTGAATCTCTAACCACTCTCTGAGACAATTCAGGGAAACTTCTGTTTTACATACATTTCCCAAAATGGACTCCAGCACCCAATATATTAAAACGCTGTGCTCAGTTTACCAAACAAATGTCCACCTTCACAGCTGCTGACACCTTTCTTCTCTCCAATCCATCCTGCAAATGGCAGGACATACCCCACACCAGATGCACAACCCCAGGAACACACAAACAGGCACTCGTGGCTTCCCTCCCCACCCATGCATAGCAGACTGTGCATGCGCAGGTGAGGAGCAGGGCAGACAATGGTGTCAGCAGCTGATGAGGTGGGCATTTTTGGGGAATGGAGCACAGAATTTTAACATATTAGGGACACTGTAGTGCTCTGGGACCTTTTCAAGAAAAATATGTAAAGGTAAACTTACCCTTTAAGACTGGATTCAAACATACAAGGGAATGTGCAGGTTAGTAGTCACTGCAATGCAAGAAAATGCATGTCACTTGTTGTGCTGCCATTCATTTTTAATGGCACATCAAGGCACATGCTTTAGCACACCACAGCACATGATAAGATACCACCATGTGTTGAGGTGTACTACCTTTAAAAAAAAAAAAAAAAACAGTACATGCACCTTTTTTGGTGAATTTTAGTGTGCTGGGGAGCTCAGTCAAATGAAAAAATGAATAGGCTCCCTACGGCACCACCTGCCTGGAGTTTGCATGTTCTCCCTGTGCCTGCATGGGTTTCCCCCGGGTACTCTGGTTTCCTCCCACACTCCAAAGACATGCTGGTAGGTTAATTGGATCCTGTCTAAATTGTCCCTAGTATGTGTATGTATGAATGTAAGTTAGGGCCCTTAGATTGTACTCCCCTTGAGGGCTAGGGACTGATGTGAATGTACAATATATATGTAAAGCGCTGCGTAAATAGATGGTGCTATACAAGTACCTGTAATATTTAAATGCAAGGCATGCATTTGCAAGGCATGTAAACGAGCAGAGTAACATACGTTAACACACATTGTTTTAATGCACCGAGCCAAATTGTTTTTGATCCATTTTGTTTTTTTTGCAGTTTATACGTTTTTAAACTTTTATAATTATTACAGAAATGTTTAAATTTCCCAACAGGTTCTATCGATAACTCAAGCATGGAAGTGCTCTATATAGAGAGACTGCAGAGCGGAGACTATCTGCTTTCAGAATCTTTCTCTAACTGAAACTAGATAAGGCACCATCTATACAGGGCATTAGGAGGGAGATGTGTGGAAATAGGAGTCTGACTCACTGAGCTCTATAGTCACCAGACCTTTTTCAAGCAAAGCAAGATTTCCTAGGCAAATATGCCATCACCTGCTGGCAGGAAGTATAAACCTAAAATACATACAATATGTGCAGAATTTTAGATTTTACCTACTGAAACATATGTATTTATTTATTTTTTTATTTTACATTTTTGTTCCAAATATAAAACATTATAGCCATATTGGTTATGGTGAAAAAGAACTACAAGAATTAAAAAGCTCCCAACTATAATGCATGCATAGCACAGTAAAGCCTTTTTAAAAGAGAACGTATTCACATCTCATTCCATCTCATATCAGAAAAAGCCAAACTGTCCTGAAATGAGGAATAAAACTCTTGTTTTTAGGATATGTGATAGAATGAGAGATATGAATAGCTTAATTTACATGCTATGCACTGATTAGAGTGAAGGCTTTTTGATTTTGTTAGTCCCTTCTCATCATAGCCTGTATGGTTATACCAGCCTTCTGCAACCTTTTTAATATGGAGAAACCCTTGAAACTTTCTGGTCGCAGGCAACCCCTACTAATAATTATTATATCTACAGCTCAAATTAGTGTGGTAGTCACAGAGGAATACTTACATTTATGGTCATTAGAAAAATTCATCTCTTACAGATGGTTAAAAACGATCATTGTTGTCAGTGCTTATTATAGTTATTCATGTGAGAGTCAGAAATTACTTATTGTTCAAGGAACCCTAAAAACCTCTGGAGGAACCCTAGGGTTCCACTGAACCCTGGTTGAGAAATGGCTGGATTATACGGTCTTGCTGAGTCCTAAGCCCTACTCCATAGAGGTCATGGTTTCTGTACACTGCAATGATGATGGGCAAAAAGCCTAAAAAATATGTATGCAGTTTGAAATAAATATATATTAGGCAATATTTGCATTTGAGGAATATACAGTATTGGATACAGCACTGGGATATACAGTATGATGGAAGGAGACTTGGGAATACCTTCTGTTTTATGGGAGCTTTGCTATGTTCTTAATATATTTACACAAAGACGTTGTATTCCTTCTTATTTTGCTCATTTGCGCATTGCTACCTTCAACAAATAGTTTTTTCCTTCAGTGAGGTATTATAATAGCCTGCCTGCCAGCCTGAGCCCTTTTCACAGGGGCATAAAAGCTTCACTTTCTACATCCTTTCTACTTGTAATCTCCAGAGTAAAAGTAATTGACTTTGTATTCCCGTGCTACATCGGGCCTTGTGTGCGTATCAAAGTGACAATACTAAGAATGGAACTCTTGTTATTTCCCAGCAGCTAGGAGACTTCAACCTGCCCTAATAATGACCATTGAAAATGTATTTTTTCTCTTCCAAGCAGAATAGCAGATGTCGGGGAAAATACAGTTTTATGGATATGTTCATACATAAGCCCTGCCTTTTTATTAGTCTACTAATTCACTCTTGTTTTCACATATGTATCAGTCATACAACTACATTTGTTTGACAAACTAATTATGGTTAATAATACATTTCTTCCAATATATGTTATTTGTATCCCCAAATGGCAATTGGAAACTCTTGTGGTCTTTATTTTTTTTTTTTTTAATTAAAAGGATATCTTTTTTTCTCCACCTTCTGCCCTTTCCCGACACAGATCATATTTCCCCACAACCCAGCTCCTCTGAGATCTTCACTGCTTGGTTCAAGTACAGCCACACAAAAAAGAGTGAGACCCTAGCATTTGTAACCTATTGCTGGCACAAGGGTTCCACTCTGGTAAAATAAGGTAAACATTTCAGTTTTCATTGAAAGCCAACAAGTCCCAGCATGTTTAGAAGATATTCTCCATTGACTTTTTATGCCCACTCTGGACTGGCCAGGGGAGTTTTAAGCCAAGGATTGTGGGAGAAGCCTCACTGAGTACAAACAGCACTTCAACCAAGTGGTATAGAAACTACAATCTCCAGGGAGCTATACAGACAGGGAAAAGGAGTGAAGGCGAATTCAGTAGGTGGCCCAAGGAGGATCAGGGTACTTGGCACCAGACCAGGGAAGGAAGCGTACGTCCAGGTGAGGGTACTGAATCTTCAGGCTCTCACCCACCAGTGCAGCCTAAGAATCTTCAGCTACAGCCATACAGAGTGGGTTCGCAGATCTCTATCTACATGCACAGCCATTCAGAGCAGGTTCGCCGGTCGTTATCTGCATCCACAGCCATACAAAGTGGGTTTGCCAAAGTTCAAGGCACTGATCCATGAGGGGCCCCTCTAACATTGGCACCTACAGCTAAAGTGCAGGATTGGTGAAAGGGTTGCCAACCCACCAAATACTCTACATCACAAAACCAAGCAAGACTCTAGTTAACACAGTTTGCCATCAAGGTTCCTTAGACACTATCAGATTTTTGCAGCATTCCACTGAGAAGTGACATATCTGTTGACATAACATCTGTCCTAGATTACTCCACTAGCTCAGATCTACTTAACTCTGCACTTGAACAGGGTTTAACCATAATGAAAATCCCAGCACCAAGTTCCATCTTCCAGAACTATTCATCAAGTCCTCACCCCTCTGAAGCCAGTTAGCATCATCATTAGTGCACCACCGTAAGAGCCTCAACCGTACTGGCAGAAATAACTATTTTCTTTTCCTCACTTTTTGGAGATATTTCTTACCTCCCTGCTTCAGTGTGTTTACACAGTCTTTAGGAATTTTTTCACTTGTTCCTAGCAAAGTCACTCCAGGGCTTAAGGCAGAATAGCCTCCGGGGGTTTATATTATCCATTTCTGGCTATCCTTATATTTACTTTAGGTGACTCGGTTACAGTTCAAACTGATTGGTAAAATCTGGGCCTATTTATATGTAGTGTTATTTCTTGCACAGAACCCTGGTATAGAAGTGCTCTGTGTAAGAATGTATGTCATCTTATCTTGGTCACCGATTTATTATCAATACATATAGTGTTTACGTAATCTGGTGTTGTTCATTCAATAGAGGGGATGTGTCAGAGTGGAAACGACAGAAGCCCACTATCTGAAGAAAAGAGACTAAGTCTCAGAGGTCTCACCAAACTGGTAGCTTCTAAGGGAGTGCGCTACACATGCATGCCAACCTTGTGGGAGAGCTTTCCACTGAAACAAAACAAGGCTGTGCAGCCATCAGGACCTGGATCACCTGCAGGTGGCACTGTGCTTCCCAGATCAGGAGGTTGCAGTTCCTGTGTCCACCAGCGAGTGTCTCCCAGCAGGCAAAAGATTCCAGTAATCAGTCTTCATCAGATACTGGGAGAGTATTTAGTTCCCCCCAGGTGCAGACTGACCATTCGGAAACTCGGGCACTGCCCGAGGGCCCGGGGTCAGTAAGGGGCCCCATGAAATGCCCCTGGTACCTTTCATAGGCTTTTTTGGGTGTGGTTTGAGTGTGGGCGAGCACACAGGGGCCCCATGATCCCCTATTGCCCGGGGACCCCATGAGTTGTCAGTCCGCCCCTGGTTCACCCTCTACTATTACACTTTGCTTCAGTGTTTTGCTTTGCTAATCAGATATTGCTTGCCATTTATCCTGCTCCTGATCTTGCCCTTGCCCTGCATCCTATACCCTGTTGCTTTATATCTGCTCCTCTCGTTCCTGATCCTAGCCCCGGTTCCTCCCTCCTCCTTGCATATCTGGTATTACCCTGTTTATTAGTGTTCCTCATTTTCGTACATATTGTATATAGCTATTTTGTTAGTAAGGCTTCCTATTACTTAGGTTGCTAGTTAGGCTTTTTTATAATATGGTTATGGTTCACTTTTATCTTCATGTTTGCGGTGTTTCCTGTTTGTTGGTGTTTGGATGGCTTTTGGTTTCATTGTCAATAAACCTTACTTGTAGCATAAATAGTCTGCTCTCAGTTTCTTAAGTGTAGCCACGCAGATTTTGCCACCCTTGCTGCTGCTCCCTGATAGAGGCATCTTGTAAGCCCATAATAAAGATCTTGGAGTGGCAGAGTTATCCTGTGGAAAAGTATAATTATGGGTTTCAAATAAGGATGGTGTTAAAAGAGATCACATCAGTGGCCATTCCATAAAAGATCAAAATCAAAAAGTAATGAGTGGATTTTAAAGGGCACAGCACACACAATAGTGAAATTACATAATCGCTTTTTTGAACATGTAAAAATATATATAAAAGAATCACAGGCTAGGAAACAATGGACTGTAATCCAATAGTCCATTCACTCTTTAGATATATCAGAAACCCCTGTACATAAAACAGTATGGGGAACTATATTTCAGTCCAGGGAATCTGGTCCTGATGTCCAATGAATTTAGAGACTAAAGCTCTTTTGAGGGACGACCCTGGAACAACACTCAGATACACCTGGGGTTATAAGGATATAGCCTGTGACAGGGGCGGACTGACCATTTGAAAACAGGGCCACGGTCAGTAGGGGGCCCCATGAGATGCCCCTGGTACATTTTTCATAGGCTTTTTTTAATTTGGGCAAGGACACAGGGGCCCCATGATCCCCTATTGCCCGAGGGCCCCATGAGTTGTCAGTCCGCCCCTGGCCTGTGATGAGGTGTTAAAACAATTATGTACAGGATTCAGGTGCTAGATCAATCCAGAACCAGGAAGGAGTCAACAGGCAGAGCCAAACAACAACAGCAGAGATCCATACTGTTGTCATGTATAGGGGTTTCTGATATATCTAAAGTGTGAATGAGCCCTTTTGGGGCTATTGGTTTACAATTCACCATTTCCTAACCTAGGCTTGTTATATATATTTTTACATGTTCAATAAAACAATTATATAATTTTACAATTGTTTGTGCTGTGCCCTGTAAAATCCCTGCCACCCATTACTTTTTGAAGTATAATTAAGGTTTGTTCACACTGGTGCACTTAATAACATGGTATGTGTTTTACAAAAACACATGTTGTGTTTTTTATGAGTCTTTAATGCATTGTGTTAAAACCCATATGTGTTTTAGATTCTTTTTGGATATGATTTTATGCTTGGTTACCTATTTAAAAAAAAAAAAAAAAAAAAAAAGGACATGCACCCCCCAAAAAAGCACCCTCATAGCACTCCCAAAATTTACACACCATATTTGCACTATGCCATACAATTATTTTTTAAATATTTTTTTACTTGCATTTCCTGTATTCTGTATTCTGCAAGGAGGCTATGGACTCTTTCTTTACTACATGAAGGGATTCATGTCATGTTGTGTCTGTGTAAGATGGGGAAACAGCTCTCATTGTTTGAATACTGCTTGTGTGGAGTAAATTAAATGTTTTGACTGACATTCTGCAGTTTAGCCACACGATGTCATTGTTTTTTTAACACAGCCTCAGACTGCATAGAGAGTTCTATATTCATGAAGAGGTGGGGTTTTCACACAGAGGAAAGCAGCCATGTTCTGGAGAAGAGGACATTCGTTCTGTTCAGGAGTCACCAGCGGATATAAAATAGAAGACCCAGGTCGGTAAGATCGTGCACGCACCTCATTTCAGTGCTGGTGCCTTGAGACTGAAGTCCACGCCTATAGGTTAGTTAGGCTGTCTCTGTTTGTGTCAGGCACAAGTGTTGTTACTGGATTATTTGAAAGACTCCACAACTTAAAGTGGACATTTCACATTGGAGAGCGATAAAAATCCTACGCAAACTCATGCCAGTCTGGTGTTTTGTCTAGAAGGAATATCTCAGGCACGTGCTACAGGGACCAGTTATGGGAGGGGGTATATTGTAGATTTAGTGTAAGATTGTTAAAGCTGCTTGTTGCTGCACCTCAGGGCTAGCCCCTTCACCATCACCACTCGATTCCTGCTCTCTTTAGGGTAATAACAGGTAAGGTGTCGGTAGCTCTTATTTGTGCCCGCCAGCAGGTAAATTACTTCACTTTCTGCCTTCATCCGATCAGGAAGTCACGTGCTGTGCAGCAACAAGGGTCTCTGCCTTTGGAGCTGGGTGTATGTTAATATGTATTGTATGTCTCCAAGCAAATTTGTGAGGTTGTGTTTATTTGCCACATCTAAGTAAAACTCTTGTTGTAGGCAAAACCTGGTGTTGGGGTTGCTTTCCTCGTTCGTGACTTCATTGTATCCTGAGGAGCCCCACGGTACATGGCTTACAACTGGCATGAGTTGGCAGGATACTCAGCGGACCGTTATTGACCGGGAATGCAGCGGAAGATCCCGGCGCCATTGGCACAGGTCCAGGACCCAGCTCAGGGTGGTATGCGCGGTGCAAGGCCAAGTTGCCCCAACACCGTGATTACAGCTTGCCCGGTCCTGTCCGTCACCGTTAGGGTACATTCCCATGGGGAGCTTAGTTGAGTCAATCGGGCAAAATTTGATGGGTAAAAAATATGACATTGCAGGAGATGGACTGAATTGAGCTGTGAAGTGCGGTTATGATATGTTGTAAGCTGACATCCGGGGCTGCGGGCTAGGGGTAGTGCTTTGCGAAATGGGGCTGTAGAGGGTTGACGTCAGGACGGCAGTAATTGGTACAGGCCCGAATCTGAGAGAGACAACCTAGAGGAATATCTTTCTCCCTGCTGGAGAGAACCCAAGGGGGGGTGTGCTTAAGTTGTGCAGCTGCGGAAGCACTTCTTCAACTGAAACCACCAGCAGGAGGGCAAGACCTGATGCAGTACTTCCAATGCTCTACAAGAAGACGCTAAATTGAAATACAGTGGCAAGATCAGATTGCCTGGGAGCTTTCCAGGAGGTGGACTGGCTACTACTGAGACCAGTTCATAGTGGGCTCTGCCAACAAGTTCTTACAGGACAAATTGCAAAAGATGACCGGACGGCGACCAAATGACATTCTGCAGCATCTAACTTAGACTGCCGTGCGAGAGAGAGGAGGAGTGCATACCTGTCGGTTGCAAGAATAGTGAGTCAGTACCCATTGCTTACAAGAGATCAGTCTGCATCTGAAAGACTCAGAACTTAAAGGATGTGGGTCAGGCCCTGCGGACAGAAATTAAGAGAACTTGGCTGGAGAGTGTCCAGATGGAAGGGCAGAATCTCCGCGTTCTCCGGAAATGGACCTCAGCACCTCGCGCCACTCCACTCAGGATAAACTCAGCTGGCGGGGGGTACATCAAAAAGGGACCGCTGTTGTGGGGCTTGTTAACAGTACAGCCACATGGCTAGAGAGTGCCCAGAAACAGACTGGAAGTCCGAGCTGACGTTAAACTATCGCTGGTGCGTCCTGCGGCGGGTTACACCAGAAGCATGAAGCACTAAGCATGAATGAACAATGACCTGTATGCCAGCTGCCCCGTTATGGAAGCCGAGCTGGACGGCCAGAAGGTAACGCTGTAATAGATGATTACAGGGTCGGATGTGCACCCTTACTGCCTCTGGAGTTCTTCGAAAGACACTTTGGACATAAGATGGAGCCGGAAGACGGAGCGTCATCAGCTGACGGTGCCAATCACAAGAGAGATGCCGTTCCGAGGAAATACGTCTGGATGCGGGTTCCGGCTGTAGGTGGGCAAGGACGTCGAGACAAGAAGGGGGTCGTGCTGGTTGGATCATTTGTCCCGGTAGGAGTGATGGACGTGACACTAGGTATGAACGTGCTAAGGGGACCTAGGACCACCAACTTTATGCCAAAGCAGGGCGAGGTATTGGCAATAGGGCCACCACACACACGGCCAACCAGACGGGTCTACAGAAGATGGTGAGGAGCTGCTAAGTCTGCGAGAAGGGCGAACATGTCAGTCGACCCATTGGACACGTAGAAGTGTGCTGCGGAGGACCCCGTGAAGATCCCGCGTCGACATTGAGCCAATTATGGATGCTGCCGGTTGGGGTGGATGACGATTGTATGGAACTCGGAGGTTCCTTGACTGAGCTCGCTTTCCTAAGATGATACGCCAGGACTCCTCCACTGGTAGCCAGGGCCCTTCGCTATTTTGAAGGGATGGATGGTGTGACCAGTACGACATGCCTCAACGGTTGAAGACTGTGAGTTAACCGTTCCGGGAATACCTTGCTGGCGAAGATTTATGCGTGTCCCGTAGGGGATAATCCTTCGAACAGAGGAGCTTCACGCTATGGGCAGATAGAAGATCAGCCTTGGAACCCTATGCTGTAGAGGTCCATTCAAAGGGAGACCCCAACAGCAGAGTGGGAACAGTTCGAGTGATCATGGTCCTGATGGGGGCGTGGACTGCTACGATCCTGACGCTAGGACAACAGAAGTTGCTGGAAGGACACCCTTTGGGAGTTTCAGGAGGCCTTCTCGAGACATGATGAGGACTTCGGGTGTGCCAAACCACCATCGAACACGAAATCCCACCGGCAATTGCTGCCACGAATTCAGTGAACGTTACGGCTAAATCCTACCTAAATCTACCAGAAGGTGACGGATATGGTGGCCAGCATGTTGGAAAAACCAGGTGATCCAGGGAGAGTCAAAGTCCTTGGGCTGGCTCCAGTAGTCTTGGTGTGGAATGAAGACTGGGAGTCTCGTTTCTGCATGGATTATCGGAAGCTGAATGCTTCAGACCGTCCGGGAATGCCCACACCTTTCCGCCGGAATTGTGGAGTCGTTGTCTGCCCTGAGTAATGCGAAGTTGCTTCTCGGACTCTTGGACCTGGCCAGTGGTATTGCAGGTACCGGTGCAAGAAGGACAAAGCGAAGACGACCTTCACAGTCCTACCTATGGGTTCTCTACGAGGTTCATATCGGATGCCATTCTGCCATGTTCCAATGCCCGGGAACATGCCAGCGGGTTAGATGGGCAGCATGTCTGGGAGATCTTCAACTTCGAGTTGGTATTGTGACATACCTGGTACGGACGTAGTAGGGTTTGGGGCCTCTTTTGAGGATCACCTTCCAGAAAACTGCCAACAGCGTCTTAGGACGGCTGCCGAGACCAATGGGCTTCAAAATCAAGCCAAGGAAGTGCCAACTGTTTCGACCAGCAGATAGAGTTTATTTGGGACATTTTGGTCACTCAGGAGGGGGTAAAAGCCAATCCCCCGACAAGGTGGAGTCCGTCCAGAAGTGGCCCACAAGCCTGAGTTACACTACGAGAGCGTGCGGGCGCTTCATTGAACTGGCCAGTACTACAGGAGGGTTTATACCCATGCTTTGCTCATTTGGTGGGCTCGTTAAATGAGTGTTATAAGGGGGCCACTGCCAGGGGACCCGAAGAATCGTCCCATCGGTAGTGGGGACCCGACAACAAAGGGCCTTTTGAAGCAGTGAAGGGGCGCTGATTAGTGCCCTCGATTACTGGCTTTGCTGAGGGTTGGACACCCACATTTCCTGCTGATACCCTGAACGGAAGTCTACATGGTCTGGGGGCTGTGTATATCCCAAGTTCACGGAATGGACGTGAGAGAGTCAATTGCCTATGGCAGCCAGCGCTTGAGGGAAGTCAATGCGCAAACCTGACAACTAAGCGTCTCTTAAATCTTGGAATTAACTGGCCACTGATGTGGTCCCATGGACTGAAAAGTTTGTGGAGTTACCTGACCGTGTGCAGATGTTTGACCGTGATGATGAGGACAACAACCG